TCAGTTGCTTGGAGCAGTTCATAGTATGAAATTCTTTCTGTTGTTGCTATAGATAATGAATCAGCTCGTTGAGGAGATCTTTTACCTCTTCTATACCTTATCCATAGGAACACAAAGGTAATAGGAACAAATACAAGTGCAATTCCCAGCACAAGAAATAGAACAAGCATTTTTTCCTATTTGATCTATGCTTTGATGATGTGGCGCATGGTGGGACACTAAACCTTGAAGAACCACACAATGCTTCATTGTCGATGAAAAATTGACTCGAGAGGTTCTTGAAAGGACCCCCCGAGGGTATTTCACCGTACAACTTGTTGACAGAAACATTGAAATACTTCAGGTTTTGAAGTTTCTCCATAGACATAGGAATGGATCCTGATATATCATTATGAGAAATGTCTAGGAATTCCAAACCTACCATGTTGCTCACTGAGTCAGGTATAGATCCTTGCAATTTGTTGTGTCTCAAAGAAAGATGCACCAGATTTTGCAATCCTCCAATTTCAGGTGGTAAAGAACCAACCATGTTGTTTGATGATAAGTGAAGCTTTATTAGATCTTTAAGATTCCCCAAGCTTGTTGGTATATTGGAACTCAATTTATTGGAATCAAGATGTAAGAACCTAAGGGACGTAATATTCCCTAAACAATTAGGAAGTGCTCCTGAAAGTTGATTTTGACCCAAGTAAATATCTCCCAAATGTTGCAATTTACATAAATTATCTCCAATAAATCCCGTAAGCTTGTTGTTTCTCAAGTCCAGGCGCTGAAGGCTTCTCATGTTGTGAATTGATGTAGGAATTGATCCAATCAAGTTATTATCAGAAAGATCAAGGTCTAATAAGTTGCTTAAGTTTCCAACTTCATTTGGAATCTTGCCTTTGATGTTGCAAGCATTGGCATCAAACTTTATAAGAGATTTGGAGAAGTTCCCTACGGAGACCGGAAGCATGGCATTTAGAGGGTTGAAAGATAGATAAAGAGATGTTAAATTTCTGCAATTGGTTAAGGAAGTGAGGAAGCTTAAAAATGAATCACTGGTTAAATTGTTTCTCTGCAAGTTTAGGTAATGTAGATGAGTCAAATATCCAAGAGAATTGGGAATCAATCCTGTGAGTTTGTTTTGTGAAAGCTCTAGATTATTAAGCTTTGAACAATTGGAGATAGAATGAGGAATAGTCCCAACAAGATTGGTTAAGCCATGCAGATAAAGCTCTTCAATGTTGGGTAAGGTAGAACCTATGTTTGGTGGTAGAGTTCCTGATAGATTATTGGCTGAAAGAGACATTATTCTCAGTCGTGATATGTTGAAGATCTCCATTGGAAGTGAACCACTAAAACTATTCAACTCAAGATTAAAGTTCCTCCAACTCAACGAGATTTTCTTATCTCTTTGGGTATTTCACCTGAAGAAAGAATGAGTTTATCTCTTAAACTGTTTAGATTGCTATCACTTAAATTGAATGTATACGTACCAGTAAACCTATTCTCCTCTAGATATAAAAATTGCATCTTGGTTAAGTTGCCAATCTCGCGTGGTAAGGATCCCTTGAGATTGTTCTTCCATAGTGAAACTTCTTGCAATGAGGAGATATTGAATATGGAGATCGGGATAGAGCTGGTAATCTGGTTTATCTCCACGGCTAACTTCATCAAATTAACAAGATTTCCGATTTCTTGTGGAATTATCCCTGCATTTAATGTGTAATAAAAAAAGATCTAAGGTAATTAGATACAATAGTACTAGCATTCATCATATCATATCTCATCTCATCTCATATATATATATCATCATCATCATATCATATCATATCATATCATACTAAAAATGGGAACATCAAAATGAAAAGTTAAAATACCTTTTTACCCTTCAAAACACTATTTCTATTATTATTCTTTTACAAAACCAAATATATATTTTAATAACTAATTAGATATAGATGAAATCAGTTTTAAAAGTATTCAATGTGCATTAAATTATTTAATGATGGAATTAAGTAAGATATGTGAATGAGAATGACTCGTACTATTGGGTTTTCAAGGTGATTAGGACGTAATGCGAAAACTTACAATTGCAAATCATAGAGTTGATAAATCAGATAACAAAAACGTATACTAAAAATATAATATCATAATATGAAAACTAATATAAGAGAAAAATATTTAAAATATTGAGAGAATAAATCTCCCCATAAGATAAACTCTTAAACGTCTACATTGTGGATGCTATTGTGTTGTGTTATGGGAATAGAGATCTTCAATTTATAGATCTCCAAACTTTTCCTCTAAGGAAAGAATAAACCAAATATGGAAGAAAAATATATTTCCTTTCATGAAAAGTAAATACATTTTTGGTAATGTTTTGTCTTTTCTTTTAGGAAAACCTAACTTCAAATAAGGTAAGAAAATCAGGGCAAAACCCTAACACGTACTTTACTCAAAACATTTTTACGTTTTTGTCAAAGCATGAAGAATTCTAAGAGATGAAATTCAATGCACACAACATTCATTGTAAATGAATATAGGACATTTAAAATTAGTCTAACCAATTTAGACTTCTCCAATTGAACTACTATAAAATAGTATAAATACCACTCCTTTTCCTCAAATGGATAAAGGAAGTTGAAAAACTAAATTTCATATGACAGTCAAATTACTCGAAGGTAAATGGCAACTATCCATCCAATTATTTTACAAGATGGTAAAGTTAGTTTCATCATTTAGACAGAATATGTAGTAACAATTTGTCTAATTCTCATTCTTGATTTACGAAAAAGATATTCTTTTTTGGCCTTACATATTGTAAATTATAATAGGATGTTATCTGCTTCGAGTGATTTGTCGATACCATCATCTAGACAACTTTTTTAGATTTATGTAATACAATAATTATATCTATTTTTTTTTGCTATTTATTGTAATTGACACTTTAATTATATTGTAATTTTCTTTTGGACAACATGTGAAGTTTCATGTACTATGAGGAAAAAGGTGACCTTTATTTGAGAAGTTTTATATACGCTGCAGATTTTAATAGGAGTATGCCAATAACATCTGTTAGCCCATACAACTTTCCTCTTCGGATAAACTGGTGTACACCCTATTACAATCGTGACTACATTCATTCATTGTCTTAATTTGTCCTTATGTTTTGATTCTAAATTCTCATTTTAATAAGATCTAGAGCTTTATAATAAGAATATATAAATTATATTGTATTTGGATTAACAGTTTGACACATAAATTGAATAGGGTTTTTTTCAGGTTCAATCACGATTATTAGGATCTGATAAATATTTGTAAGAAGGATTTATACCATTTTGTTTTCTGTAAATGTTATTATTGGCATCGTATGCATATATGATGGGTTATGTGCAATCAAGATATATTTTAAAATGCATTGTTAAACCTCATGTCATATTGGCGACAATAGTTTTAATCATGATAAAAGTAATTTAAATAGTAGAATACTATATACACTAACATATAAAGATTTATATACTAAATAAGGCACCTTATTATTACCACTTTGAGCAATTTTCAATATAATTATGTGTTACATCGTTTAAAATTTTATAGATATTTTTTTAAAATATTCTATTCTTAATAAACTAATAAAAAGTTTAAATACTTCAAATATTTGTCTTATAAATCCATTTAAACATTTTGAATATGTACACAATTAAATTTTAGTAATTTACTTTTTTTGAATATTTGTCTTATTTATGTTTATTTTTTGTAAGGGGTGTGTACGATAGAATAGATAAAACTACATTTTTTTATCAATTTTTTCTTAAGGGGTGTACAAGATTGAAACACAATCAATAATTTGAAATGAAGAAACTAACATATAATTAAATTATTAATAACTTCTTTAATTCACCAAAGAAATAGTGATATAAATATTTATCCTTATTTATTTATCCTTGCGTCTCATTTTGAGAAAAACAAATTCAATGTTTCAACTTTTGATACCCTTTCATATTTTAAGTTGTCACTCTGTTGATGCTATGTTTCTGTATTCTAAGCTCATTTTTGAAAAAATTAATTTGGTAGGATTCAATACTTGATATGATCCCTTAATAATAAATAAAATTAATATTGATTATAAATTGTAGACTTCATATTATTTTAATTAACTCTATGAAGTGGCTATCAAATCCTATTCATTTTTCATCTTTCTTCATTTCTCTGAACTTTGTCTTGCTGGTAATTAACATATGAGATAAGAATATACATATATTAATTTGTGTTTATAATTATAGTATTTTAAAATACTAAATATTATCATCTTTTATTTCATTTGGAGAAGAGATACTTTGTTGTCATATTTTAATTTGTTATTGGTATCCCAGAGTAGATTCCAATTATTTGAACTATTTTTTGTTTGAAAATGAACGATATTCATGTAATTTAATTATAAATCTATTTTAATACAATGATAATTTGAAACAATTTATGTCAATTTTTTATAACCACACACTTTTAATACAATGATAATTTGAAACAATTTATGTCAATTTAGATGACCACACACGTGTCCTGAAACTAGAAAGATAAAACATACCTGTGAAATGGTTAGCTCCAAGATACAATATCTGCAAGTTACTCAATCTTCCAATTTCACTATGTATTGGTCCATCAAAATCATTTCCGGATAGAGACAACTTTTGAAGTTGTGAACAATTTGACAAGCTTTTAGGCATATGACCATGAAGCTTGTTTACTGATAGACGAAGCTCTTTGAGTATTGGGAGACCATTGCATAAACCATTGGGAAGATTTCCTGATAAGCTATTGTTTGTAAATGCGATGACTTCGATACTAGAAATATTGAAAATTGTGAATGGTATAGAACCCGTAAGCTTATTATGTTGTATGGACAACAAATTCAGGTTGTGAAGATTGCCAATCTCTTCCGGGATGTTTCCTTCAAGTAAATTGGCAGATATTTCTAAAGTCTCCAACCTTGAGGCATTCGAGAGTGACGGGGGAATGAAACCAGTGAAACTATTACTTCTAAGATTTAAAACTTGAAGTCGTTCTAAAAACCCAAACCAAGAAGGAATTTCCCCTCTGAATTTGTTGAAACTTAAATCAAGAAACTTAAGCCGAGACAAGCGTGCTATTTCTTGAGGCAAATTTCCATGGAAATTGTTGCTTCCCAAGTCAAGAGAAATAAGAAATGTGAGGTTTCCTAAATCGCGGGGAATAGTGCCTGTAAGAGTCATGTCGGATAGATTCAATGACTTCACTCGCTGGTGACGAGAACCACAAGTGACTCCAACCCAACGACAAACATTAATAGCGGGAGACCAACTTTCATTCAAGTAATGAAAAGGGTCTGAACTAATTTGGGATTTCAAAGAGAGAAGAGCTAATTGATCAGTCGTAATGTTGGTTTGGGTCATAACATAGTGAAGCAACAAGAGTATTGTCAAGAGGAAAAATGTGAAGGCTTTCTCCATTAGTGCAAATATTAATAGAAAAATGATATCGCTAGTAACATGTGGTATTGAGGCTTTAAATAGCAATGGGATCAACATGATTATTTTTCTTAAAAAAAAATAAATTACTTTATTTATTCATATCAATACTAATACTACCTAATCTGAATAGAAGCGAGTAGACAAAATACCAAAGGGGTTCAAGGATATACAATAACGCCGAATTGAAGTCGAGTTTCAGCTCCGATTTGATGATGTATCGAGGAAGAGACGCTGCACCTGCAAATACTCTTCAACTTCCACTTTCCTAATTTTGTTTTTTGATATTTCTTAGTTGGTAGGTGTTGTCTTTTATTGTTTTGTTTATTTATTTGGTGGGCTGTTCACTTAGGCAACCCACATGATTTTGTATATATTTTCTTTTAGTTTAACAAAATTCTTGACCCATGTGGTCTTTGATTTAAAAAAAAATAAAAATACCTAATCAATCAGAAATGCAAAATGGTGCAAAAATTCTCCTAATCATCCAAAGACTTGTGCAAGTCAACTAAGTCTCTTATTTTCTCTATAATTGGTGGCAAAATTATTCCTCTAATCAGTCCAAAGACCTCCCAAGTTGCCTTCTACTAAATTATTGTTTTAGGAAAATTTTCCAAGTTACGTGGGTCCTAAAGATTTGACAAACTGATTGAAAAAATTTACATCTAAAAAGTTAGAAAAATAATTTTTAAATAAATACATATGAAGTTTATTTAGATTTTAGGCCTCTAATTGAAATCTAAAAGTTAGAAAAATAATTTTTAAATAAATATATATGAAGTTTATTTAGATTTTAGGCCTCTAATTGAAATTTCGCTTTAGGCCTCTAATTACTTTGAGCCGAGGTAGCAGTTTGGTGCTCAATGTCATGTTTAATGGTAAGCATTTCCGGATGGGATTGGGTGGCCAGTCGAATCTCATCAATCCAGTCAAAAGTTCGAATAGATAAGGCATTTAAAGTCCCTTCAACAGGTAATGTAAAGTAGAATAATCAATATGCCTTGGAGCAATGCTAAAGTTGCCTCTGCGGGACCTGCAGGTCATGATTCCGAGTCGTGTCCGAGTCTGTACTCTACAGTCAAACAATTAATTTAAAGATGCAATATACTTTCTTGATTGAAAAAAAAAGACGGAAAATTAATGCTCAAATTAGCAAAAACAAAGAGACGTACCCGGTGCTACATAACCAAATGTTGCTAAGGTTTTTGTGTATAAATCAATCTCATCTTCACCAAGCAGTTTTGAAATACCAAAGTCACTTAGGTGGGTAACCATATCCTCATCCAGCAAGACGTTACTAGGCTTTAGATCACACTGAATCACAGGTAAAGAGCACCCATGATGGAAATATTCCAACGCACAAGCAACATCTATCATAATGCTTAGTCTCTGCCTGATGTCTAGGAAGTAGTTGTGCGAATACAAATACTTGTCAAGACTTCCATTAGGCATATACTCGAGCACTAAAGCCTTAAAATCAACGTTGGAACAACTGGTGATGACTTTCACAAGATTCCTGTGGCGAATGCTGCGCAAAACTTCACATTCTGTATCGAAACTCTTGAATGCTGCTTCCAGTTGCAGATTGAACACTTTAACTGCAATGGCAGTCCCACTTCTGAGAACGCCTTTGTAAACAGAGCCAAAACTTCCAGAACCAATCAGATTAGTCTCGCTAAGCGAATCAGTTGCTTGGAGCAGTTCATAGTATGAAATTCTTTCTGTTGTTGCCATAGACAATGAATCAGCTTGTTGAGGAGCTCTTTTACCTCTTCTATACCTTATCCACAGGAACACAAAGGCGATAGGAACCAATACAATTGCTATTCCTAGCAAAAGAAATAGAAGTAGCAATTTTTTCGTATTTGATCTATGCGTTGATGAAGTGGGGCATGGTGGGACATTAAACCTTGACAAACCACACAATGCTTCATTGTTGATGAAAAATTTACTCGAGAGGCTCTTGAAAGGACCCCCCGAGGGTATTTCACCGTGCAACTTGTTGAATGAAACATTGAAACACTCAAGGTATTGTAGTTTCTCCAAAGACATGGGAATAGTTCCCGATATATTATTATGAGAAATGTCTAGAAATTCCAAGCCTACCATGTTGCTCATTGAGTCAGGTATAGATCCTTGCAACTTGTTGTGTCGCAAATAAAGATCCATCAGATTTTGCATTCTTCCAATTTCTCTAGGAATTCCATTTGTGAATTGATTCATTGTGTCACGCCCCGAGCCTACACCCTGGGCGGGACCGGCACTCGAAGACCATTGCTGGCCCCAAGCGAACCCTTGG